GCTCCCCGTAAGTTCCATTTTGCGCGAGTATGGTTGTTCCTAAATTCGAACCCCCCCCCCTCCAATCATCATCTAAAACGATGAAAGCGCACATGCGGTGCGAATTTCAACGTACATTTGCGCGTAACTGTTAAATGGAGATTTAAAATGAAAAAGGATGTTTAAGATTTCTAAATAAAAAACGGAATGTTATGTTTGTCGCGATTTCTTGTATTTCTTATATCCTTGGTGTAGTCAATAATTACAAACGATGACAGGGTGTGCTTTGCATCCAAGTGTCATGACACTATGATCATCACAGTAAAAAGTCATGCTCGTGGCAGTCTAATAAGGTAGAAAAGTAATGTTTATCAGGTGCAAGAGATTCACACACATAGTAACCACGATATTCTGATAAGTTAGAAGAACCTGATGCAACTGCAAGTACTTTCAAGTCGAAACTTCATTTATTGTTACCAATTATATAACAATGAACTATTTTTTGCTAAGATGGCTTTACGTATTTTCGCCCGAGCTCTAGGAAATGAACGAATGGGACTACTTATGTACCCGAATCATTGCTATATGCATGAAAATTGGTTTCCTTTCCAGCTAGGCTGACCCCCTCGAGCTCCCGGTCTATTGTCTTTACAGAGACATAACTTTAGCCGCGTATGCTAACCTCTTTCCCATGCTTTAAACGTGACGCGTAACGCGAATACCCGTTCGCGTAGGGACACTATTCTTTATCACACGCGTGCCACGGCTATCTATCTTAATCCGTGTAACGCTCTCTATACCTTATGCACCCTATAACGCTCTATTTCGGCACAAACCGTCCGCACAGGCAATATCGTCAGTATACTTAGCAGTCAGGCGACAGTAAACAGTGTTAGCACAGCGAAATTTATACTAGGAAAAATGCTTCACCTACCACGGCATCCGTCTGTTTCGGCGTCTCGGCATTGCCTTCTTTCCTTTCGTCTCTCCCTCTTTCTCTCTCTTCCCCCGTCTCTCTTGCTCTCTCGTCCGCTCTCCAGTCTTCTTGCTATCGGTGTACCCAGCGACTCCTCCTGTGTCTTCTTTCTTCTCCATCTTCCTTGCGTAGTATCTTCCGTGGCTCCGTGGCTCGTGAATCGTTTGTAGTGGTAGCATCCTGCGTTATGTCCGCAAACCCGGTTCTAACTGTCGACGGCGCCAAATATGTAACGAAGATGATGACGTTACCCGTTTCAAAGTGGATTCGTTGTGCATGTAATACGTAGTTTCGTTTCAATTCGATCAGATCATGTCATCCATCTGCCTATAGGTCGCTAGCAAGCCACGAAGCACAAACGATCATTTTTGTTTAAAAAAAAAATGCAGATAGTATATTTTCCCATCTGAGTGCGTATAAATTACGGGGGTAGGCATGCTAAACTTGCAATAACTTTTGTAATACTCGGTCATTCCTCAAGCATTTGGTATTGTTTTGCTAATTAAACACTCATGCACAATTGATATCCCGCTCATAGGGCATTAAATGATATAGGGGTTCGGTGTTGTTCGGGGATCAGTGTCAGATGAATATCGTCACCCGACGTTTCGTATCAAGCGATGAGAGATCAAATGATACCCTCGTCACTTGCGCTACCTCGCCGAGCGCTCTCTGCTTACGAATATTTTAATATGCTGGCCCACCACTGGAAGATATTGTAAGTCAAGCAAAGATCGAGTGTAGCATCAGCTCTAAAATCTTATGTAGCATGGCAAAGCACAGTGATAAAGAATGATCACGCATGGAAATCTGAAGCAGAGTGGTCAGGACACATGTCAAGCTTGGCAGAGCAGCTTGGATTAGCTAGACCACCAACTGCGTATATATTCGAAGCACTGATGAAAGTGGTGTGAACAATATGTTGGTGTGAACAATATTATGTTGAACGAAAAAGCATGGCCTAACGCCATGAGGGGGTTACGTATGGTAGTGACAGCCATTCTATACGATCTCATTCTTGATAGAGATGCCACTGTAGATTCCCTGCAAATGTACCAGCTTGCAGTAAGTCAGGAGTACGCCAACCGGTCGTCTATGGGTTGATTGCCTAATCAGGGGGTAGTCTATGGGTTGATTGCAACGTTCAGTCATTTGGCAACCTGACTAAATCGCAAAAATCGTGTACGTAGTAATAAGCGTATACGGTGTTGTTACGCGAGTGCCTCTACTATTGTTACTATAGAGGCTGTACTCTACTGATGATGCTGTCCCAATGATCCCTACTATGTGCGCACATAAGTATATATATATACATATATATATATATCATGTTCCTAACTAAATATACTCTGCCGTATTCAGCGTCACATTTTTCCCAAAATAACTAATCATCTGTGCTTGCCATTATCGCGTTGCCAGCCTTCTATAGTATCCATCTATACACCTGTGCATAACTATATATCATACGATTATCTACTGTGCCTTCATTATGGCGTGACTGAACGAATCCTTATATCATTCAGGTACGCCCTAGTATCGTAGTGTGCTTACACATCGAGCGTATCTATATCCCGTGCTCCTTGACACGTTATGTGGAGGATTCCCAGCGTATAATGCTGCAACAGAAATCCCCCGTAGTCCTTCTCTCGGACCGTGTACGTGACTTGTAGTGCAGGAGCCCAGGGGGTCTGCCTAGCTGAAAAAGAAACCAATTTTCATGCATATATGATATAGCAATGATTCGGATACATACCCATGAAAGGAAATGTAAGTCTGCCGGGCCGCCGGTGGTGGGTGTGGTCAGTGGGGTCATTTAAAAGGTACCTCAAAATTGAGCTAGATTAGCTGGAGAGGAAACCCCATGAAATCCATTGAAAAATGTTCGGCATGGTCCCAGGTATCAGGAATGGACACTGCCAGAATTTTTTAGTGGTGGGGCGCATCCGCCAGACCTAAAAAACCGTTACCCCAAAATTGAGCTAGATTAGCTGGAAAGGAAACCTTCTGGCACCCATTGGAAAATGTTCGGCATAGTCTCAGGTATCGTGAATAGCCACTGTGAGAATAATTCAGTTGTGGGTGTATCCGCCAGACGCCCCCAACTGCCCCACCCCCAAAATTGAGCTAGATTAGCTGGAAAGGAAACCTTTTGGAACCCACTGGGAAATGGTCGGCATAGTCCCAGGTATCGTGAATGGCCACTGCCAGAATAATTCAGTGGTGGGTGTATCCGCCAGACGCCCCCAACTGCCCCCACCCCCAAAACTGAGCTAGATTAGCTGGAACGGAAACCTTTTGGAACCCACTGGGAAATGTTTGGCATAGTCTCAGGTATCGTAAATGGCCACTGTCAGAATAATTCAGTGGTTGGGTGTGCCCACCAGACGCCCCCAACTGCCCCCACCCGGGCCTTCATTATTTAGATAGATTAGCTCAGAAGTAGATAATAGCCTATTATCTATTCTGATTAGCTGGAGAGGAAATCACTGATCCATCGGTCAGCTTTGCTTCTCTACCTTTTCTTTTCATGTTGTTAATTTGCAGAATAGAATCTTCCAACAAATCTCGAATGTACAACACATTGATTTGATGAAACAACATTATTCCCTTATATAAAGCACTTCTTCTCAACACTTTCATTTCTCATATACAGTGTATATATAGTGGTTATATATACAGTATAGTCCACTGCAGCGATCCCACTTGAGTGGGACTAATAATGCGAAGAAAGAAAAAGAAGAAGTGTCTTCAAAATCATGCGGACAAGAAAAATTACCTGAACAGTTTCTCTCATGAAGCCATACGGCAAATAAATAAAAATAGAAATATTACTCACAAGGTCATCATCACAAGGTATTAACACAAAGGTATTTTTATATAAAATAAAACATCATATGGCAAACATTTACAATTCCAAATCACATTATTGCCTCCCAATTTAGCAATCCAGTAATTGAACATTTTTTATTCTTCATTTACATTCAGTACTCAAGTATATCAAAATCCATTTTAATAAGCAACTATCAAATTTAGTACAAACCATCATGTTTTATGTCATTTATCATATTTGATTTCTTAACTTTACCCGTTGCAGACCCCCAAAAAAAGTGAAAAAAAAAATTACAAGTTGTCTAATTAAAGGTTCTCAACCATGTCAATATTCAAGCTGTATATAGATCAAACTTTAGATCGTAGCAAATTTGATCGTAGCAAGTTCTATAAAATTTGTTGTTTCCTACAAGAACTTACCGTTTTCCACCTCCACATCAGAGTCTTCATCACTCCATGCTTCACCATCTGATTCGCTCAGTACTTCCAACTCGGAATATGTTCTGTCAACTTCAACCTCTATGTCCTCTGGGCTGTTATTGACATTTTTAAATAATCTCTCTGGTACGGCCAGATCTTCGAACCATGTTGGCTTCAATAGGTTGTCCTTCAGAGACCACCCATAATCGGTTGGTGATAAACCGTCCCCAGGAGATGCTGTCCAGGCACGTGTCCACAACGCGGTAACATACTGTGTTCTGTAGACGTCGAATTGCCATATATTATATTACTTCTATTATACTATTTCAGATCAGGTATCATACTATTTCGATTGATTGTGTATCGTTTGAGAATATCGCCGTCAGTAGAATAGGTATATCTTCTCTGTCACGTTAGTTAGAGAACCAGCGCACGCAGCTAGCGGCACCACGCATAGTCTAGGCGTAACCTATCTGCCAGTCAGAATGCATTGTCACACCACGATGCAATCAGCAAGTGAATGCTTTTTGCCTCCGGTCATGTGGCTTCACACCGAGTACGTGCAAGCCGAGGACAATGTTGCAGACGATATTAGGCAGACGAGGCGCGCAGATTCAAGGAAAAGGCCGCCGGCAAGTAAGCTAGCACTTGTTATTACTAGTGAGGGAGCACGCACGTGAGCCTTCTCTCGAGCGCCATTTTGTTATATGTATAGGTTCTCTACGCGGCGCCCACGCTTGATTGAAAACGAAAAGGAGCGGCTGTGACGTTAGCCAAATAGCACGAGAACTCAAAATTTCGTAATAATCTTTTTTTATTCACATCTTCGTTCAAATCGCCGAACAAAAGTTCAGAGGCGAAATGTGAAAGGGCACCACCGTTCGCACAATCTCCACATAACGAAAATATGTTCTTATATAACAGGTATAAATTAGATCGATAACAATTATATGGCAATGATATATTCAAGATGCCGCTTACTAGGCAAACTATTTCAAATTATTCAGCAGTATCGAAGGCCGCTGACCATATAGACAGCTTCTACTTCAACACAGTTGCATTCTTCACACGTGCGCGCTTCTGAGTGAAGTAGGACAGATGGCGGCGTTATAACAGATATCTGTAGAGGATATTATTTCGCTGGCAAACAGCTCAAGGTGAACATTATTGTGACGCACCGTCACTGCCGCAGGTAAAAAAAACTGATCAGACAGTAACTATAAACGATCTACGATAGCCCTCTAATCTGCACGTAGAGACCCAATTCCGAGAAGACAAATTAAGAGCGAGGGGATCAAAAGCAGGAAGTGCGTGCGTGCGAACAGAGGGCTACGGTGCGTGCGTGAGTGCGTGGGTGTAAAGTATGTAAAATAATATCGTGGAAGTCGGACCAATTATATGAGTACATGTAGTAGTAAATTAGTAGCAGAGTCGCCGCTACTAATCGCCTAATCACGAAAAACACCTAATAATAGCCCAGCGGTTAAGCAACTGATTGTTTAACCGTGTTTAATCTTCGCTGGGCGTCAGCGAAGGAAGTAGAAGTTCCCCAGTGCTGTTTACACCACTATAAGTTTAGCTTCGGCTCTCCCCATGTCATATATATCTCATGCGCTAGCTGACATATACGTTTACAATTCAGTTGCCGTATAAAAACGTTAGGCCTACTCCTTTCCTTTTTGTTCGTACAAAAATAATATTTTCATTTACAGACTATTGATCATCATATATGCGAGTCAACGGGATAGGACGCAGAAAATATCACCACACATGCCTGAATATAAGTAGCTCCCCCGAGAGAAAGGCATGATAGAGGTTCTACTATAACACCAGGAAAAACCATAGGGGTATACCTGTATTTACTCCTGCTAATACATATAGCTGCCACGGTCGGGCCCTTGTTTACGCATGCAATATCGTAGCAAACGATAATTATAAGTAATATAATATAAGCACCAAGTGTCGTCATCATTACGTGAGTGCTCAGTATATAGCACGAACATATCTATACTCAAATATTAACGCGTTCAGGAGTAAATAAAAAACAAACGTGTTTTCATTCACGCCTGATATGTTCGCATCTTCATGACTACACGTAAGTTCACGTGAACTGTAGTATACACGTATGTTCAGGTGAACTGTTATAGAGGTCCGAGTTGAATAAAAACCAGAGGCAATATAAGAATTTTCCACAAATTAATAGCATGATTTCGCTCTAGGTTTCCGGTAACCCACGCGCGTATTGACAATTTTTACCATGCTATGCAAAACATGATTAGTTATAGTGGCTATGCAGATGATGAGTTTGGTCCCCTTTAGGATATAACTTATGATGAAAACTAATAACGATAACATTTTTGAAAAAAATGCCGCAAGCTTATATGAATGTACATTTCCTGGATAGTTTTTGACAAGAATGCCTAAAAGCCAACAGCAAAAGCTTCTGGCATTGTGACACCAGGGTCACAGATGATTACCATCGTTCTAGTACTATATATCGATTATATACACCTATGTAATACTATAACTATATTTTATATTAAGCACTAAAATGATAACCGCTACATTTATGTATGAAAGTGTGTGCGTATTTGGTGACACAACGTTGAGCTACACATTAACAAGGCTGCAAAACAAATCAATAGCATGCTATGATTCAAATTAGACGTTACATATTGCACACAATATATGGAATATTGTATCATTATCAAGAGTACATAATAGAGACATACAATAATACAATAATACAATAATACAGATCTCTATTATCTACTCTTGAGTGTATATTACGCCTTGTCACGATCGCACACTTTGCTCTACACTGGCAAACCTATATTACCCTGCGCATCTGGACATGAGTCTAGCATGCACAAGTTCATGGTTAGCAGTTGACTTGTGACTGCTATGGTCATTATTACAGGTAGCATGCGACTCTATTGCCGCCTTCCGTGCATACTCCGTTCCGTGCTTCCGTTCATTCTGATGGTCATCACGTGATAGTGGCTGCTGGGAGTCGAAGGTCAGATTTTTTCCACATAGTTGCTGGGAATGAGGCCTTCTCTGCCTCTCAGCCGTGCCAGCCACCAGCCTGCTGGATCTGCAATAAATGAAGGACACGATCACTGCACAGTTACTGTCTCGACTCAAAGACACATGCCAATCCGTCACAATATAACCATCTGTCAGAAATGCCCACCTCTCCCTGAAGTCAACGTGAGTGCGTGTGCGTGCGTGCGTGCGTGCGTGCGTGCGTGCGTGCATCACCTTCTTTCATGATCTCGATGATATCGTTTGAATTGAAGCTCAGCTCATCCGTATCTTGTGCATCGTAGGCGTACAGAGCCTTGACTTGTGGCAGCGATGGCTTTGGCTTGGGGACGGGACGAGGCCGGCCAGGAGGGGGCGCAGGCTTCTTCCTCGAACACGCTCTCTGTATGCTGAAACAAGTGAACGGTAAAACAATTCATAAAACCAAGGGGTAACTGTCCTAAACTAGCAATGGCAACAGTAAACAAATATCTTCATTAGCGAGAGGGTACGGTAAATGCTAGCCTAAACTAAGCTAATATTTACACATAATAAAGGCTACTAACCTAAAAGAAATATTACATGTAATACGTTGAATTAGAAATCCACAATAAACACAAATGATTAGGTGTAACATAAACGTAGTACTAGTAGGTTTGTATATTATATCATAGCAAACTGCCCAATGGGCAGGTGTTGGGTTCATGTAATGGATTTAGGTGGTAGTCAATAAGGGCAAATTAGGAGGAAAGGAGAAATTTCCCCTGTCAGTGCATGTATGGTAGCGACGTAAATAAGTGAGATTCCCGGAAAGTCCCGGTGCCAATCAAGGTCAAAGGTCAAGTGGTATAACATTGCCTCGGCGCGCCATTGGCAAGTATGCAAAAAATGTGATCACTCGTGAGTTTTTAGTTTCTGCGCCAACACAAACAGTGCAAAATATCCCAAATTAGCCCAATCATATTTATAAATGTTTCTATGAACAGAAAGGCACATGTGAATTGAAGTACGATGTTATTGAAAAGAAATATAGATAACCTAGACAAAAACCTAGACATTCTCACGGATCCGTGTATCTTTGTATACATACGTATGACATTGACCCGAGCTGGCTCTAGTACTATATATAGCCCTTGTTGCCACATGCATGCTAATCACATGCCTTGGCACTACACATTATAAATAATATTAATAATAATAATAATATATAATTAAACATATCCTTCCCATGAAATAATATTTGTAATTTTCATATTAGCTGTTTCATTACGAAATGAATTCAAAACTCTGCCAAAGTTAAAATTATATTAAAAACTATAGACATGATACGTATTATTAAGTGCAAAAACATTTTTACATACCCAGCAAAACAACTGCAGCAAGCACTTGAAATAACTCCTGTCTGTTTATTCATGAGAACCCAAGTGTTGTGTGGATTGCTGGTAATTCTTTGATATGGGCGGACTTTCGCTCTAAGAAAGCAGTACTGTGACGTATCCGTTAAGGGATGATACAACAGTTCCATGATAAAATTACTGGCAAAATAGCTAAAGCCTTTTGCTCTTTGTAGTCTGACAGAAGTCTTTCTGTAAACCTGTGCTCTCTAGCAGGCGAGTAATTGACTATAAACACAGCAATGTCCTGAATCATGGTCGAAGGCCACAAACACACTCCCTCATTTTCGCCCAACCATTCACTTTTTAATGAGTCCGGGTGGGGCATATCACCATCAGTGGTCTTCAGAAGATTTAAATGTGTTAATTCGTCCTTCTGTTTAGAAACCTCTTCGGAGGTAGGTACAAGGGGTAGTTTCAAGTCATATGCTATGTACGCCCTTTCAGCAAGTTCTTTCTTTGCTCCTGTCACTGGCAGCCCTCGTTTCCTCACAACGTCTTTCAAAGCCGCCACAGTCCAAGTTTCTACGATCTCTAGTGTCAATACCTCGTCACTCATATTTATTTATGTTAATCTAACCCGAGACTATGACAAAAATACTAAATTTTGAGCAGAGGATATCACATTTTCCTTCCTCAATATGCCGCAGCCAGCGTTTGGTAATACCCCCGTCAGACCGGGGTGGCGTCCTTACTGCGCTGCTACGGCGACGGAAAATGGGCCCAGAGCGCGTCAAGGTTGCCAAAAGCGTGGTATAAGCGTGGTGGAAACGCCAGAGCCAGGTTGCCATAATCGTGCTGTGGTCGCCATGGTCGCCAATGATCGCCAAGTCACGGCGTTTATTTTGAGCATGTTCAAAACAAACGCCAAGGTTCGGCGATCTGACCTGGAACGCGGTGAGAACGCGGTGGGGTCGCGAAGGTTGTGAATCTCCATGAACGTAGTACACGCACAGTACACGCGTGGCAAAGACGCTGCGAAATGGTAACATTTCAGGTCCAATTCATGGATCTGTCTCATCCGATCTGCCGATCTGTTTCATGCCGATCTGTCTCGGCCACGGCCACGGCCTCGGCCTCTGGTAGCTTGTTTCTTCGGCATCGTGTTTCTACTCAGCAAACGCACAACTATGCAGTTAAAATTTCCGAAAATCTGACCAGCTTATATAGTCGCCGTGAGAACGTGGTAGAAACGCCGTGAGGTCGCCGTGCAGTCGCGATACACGTAGAAGCCACGTGGTAAGAACCCCATGAGCGTGGTGAGAGCGCCGCGGGAACGCCGGTGATCGCCGTTGCCAAGCCCATAGATCTCAATAGAAACGCCATAAGCAGAGAGGTCGTGACGGGCGAACGCGGTATGATCGCATAGGTCGCGGTAAGAGCGCGGTTTTTTTCAAGCTTGTAATTTGTTGGGACTTTTTCTCGCGTTGTGTTCAAGTTTGCCGGCGACCTTGTACATTTTCTGGTCGCCGTCCAGTCTGACGAGGGTATTACGGCCCCTTGTCCTTTGACTTGATGACGACGCTATATTATATAGTTACGATCATATGGTTACGATAGTAGTACTAGATGTATACAAAGCTACACACGCCGGATCCGTGAGACTAGCCTAGGTTTTTGATCTATAATTCTCTTCACTAACATCGTACTTCAATCCACGGTTACATTTCAGATTACAGAAAGATTTATAAATATGATTGTGCTAAGGCCAAACAAAAAAATAGGTTTGTTTCCGGTCGACCGACCGTCCCTAGATTATTAGAGCTAAACCTAAACTTTTTTTCAAAAAAAAAAGGAAAAAAAAGGTTTTTTTTAATTTGAAATCTGACAAACAAAACTTGAGATTTTTTACTACAAACACGTTCTGGACTTGCTTACTACCTTATCCCTACCTATACGCCACTTTATAGCATGCATCAGAGGGATATTATTCCCTACCTACCTACCCTACTTTTGTTTTCGATGCAATAGGAAACACACCTATTTTTTTGTTTGGCCTAATTTGGGATATTTTGCACTGTTTGTGTTGGTACAGAAACTAAAAACGCACGAGTGATCACATTTTTCGCGTACTTGCGATTGGCGCGTCGAGGCAATGTTATACCGCTTGACCTTTGACCTATTGGTCAAACTCCCGCTACCATTACAGAAAAATACTAAAACCAGAACAACATATCCATCTAACTGTCTGTGAGAGAAACGACCCGGTTTAAACCCCGTTCCCCATAACTGAGTTCATATGCATCACCAAAACGGCCCTACGATCTTATAATATAGACTTTTGATTAGATGAAAGTTACATGACTACACTTCACACTCAATGACTCAATAACATCTAACAATATATGCAGGAGAATGAATGCCTCGCAGACACTCCAGTGATGCATGAGTTTTTCAGTTGGTATATCTACATACAGAATGTCACCATGTGTCAACATGCCATGGTGTGAAGTGAATACTCACTGGTAGAGACCTAATACATACGTGTACCCTAATACGTGGTGTGGCACCCTTGTGATAATTCTTTATCAAATCCTTGAACACGCCGGTCTGCGGGAGCACACAGCACAGGAAAAAACAAAAACAGACAAGACAAGAAACAAGAAAGAAAAGAAGAAAGAAAGAAGAAGAGACATGAAACAGACATGACGGGATAAGGGAGACGTGTGCCTCCACAGGGGATGTGAAAGATTCTGCAACTGGTATGGTACCGGCAACTTTATCCAAGATAGAGGGTCGCCTTGCCATCCTGGAAGTTAGTCAGGTATCACACATTACACCACATCACAAGGACACGAACACGGACGGACACGGACACGGACAGTCGGACATTGGCGGACACGGACACGGACATGAACCACATGGATGTATGGACCTGGCAGCTGGGATGGATCCGGGCGGGGAGAATGCCTTCCCGCTGTGTCGTGACTCACCCGGCGATGCCTGCGTCGGGCGTGCGCATAAACTCTGCGTTGTTGTTGATCTTGTCCTCGTGCCGCCGTGCCAGCTTCTGCGCTCCCGCGCTCGGTAGCGTTGGTGTCTTCTCATAGCTAGAGCTGCGCCGGTAACCTGCAACGCAATAGTAGCACAGCTGTAACGACAGTGCGGCGTGGGCGGGGGAGGGGGAGTGTCGCCGTGCCAGCTTCTGCGCTCCCGCGCTCGGTAGCGTTGGTGTCTTCTCATAGCTAGAGCTGCGTCGGTAACCTGCAACGCGATAGTAGCGCTCAAGGGGTCGTTGTCGTAACAGGTACTACAGATATGTACCCGAGGTACATATATGTATACACAAAGTGTACCAGACTTGTACTACAGAAGTGTACCCTAACCCTAACTCTAACCCTAACCCTAACCCTAAACATACCTCATATAAAAATATAAACATAATACTAAACAACCTAAAACTACCTCGGGTACATATCTGTAGTACATGTTACGACAACGACCCTTCGTGCGATAGTAGCACAGCTGTAACCACAGTGCGGTGTGGGCGTGGGCGGGAGGCGGGGAGGGACAAGCGAGCTGCGCCAGTAACCTGCAAGGAGATGGTCCAGCACGTGTTACCAAAGTTACTGGATTTTACCAAGCACATGTGCTGTCGGCCCGCCCGCTTGCACATTGGTATAGCAAGGGATCTTCGGCAGAGCAGTGCCACCACATTGAAGTAGCGAGGGTGCGACTTGTGATGAGCACCTTCTGTAGGCATGCCACACTCCTGATAAAATGCTTAACGTCGGCCCTACGTCATTTTCTTTTGGCCGACAGGTCGCCGACGTATCCGCGTCCTATCCCTGTACATTGGTATAGCAAGGGATCTTCGGCAGAGCAGTGCCGCAACCTTGAAGTAGCGCGGGTGCGATTTGCGATATAATATAATTTGGAATTTGTGCGTAGAAATTGGTGTAACAAACGTGTTACGTAGAAGTACGCTGGCAAGTGTTCGCTATTCCCAGCTCTTATCGTCTGCATGAATGAACATCACATTGATACGTGCTACGCGGAGGATTCTCATGCGAGTGCACCAGACTGCGTTCGCAAGGCATATATAAGCTCCTATAGTAGCATAGGTATAGTTATACAGCACTGGACACGAACGGTTGTCCGATTGCCCGGGACAAGTGAAAGTCCATGTCGGACAAGTTATTCTATTGGCTAGTTGCCTGATCGGACAACTGACAAATTCCAGTTCCTAACATCCGTTGAGGCAGGGTGTGATCACACAACAATCTTACGTTTTATTTTTAAGATCGCCGAAAAAAGCAGCCCGCGACACCCGCGTCGTCAAGTGAAATCAAAATTCGGACAAGTAAAGCTTCTTGTTGCCCGACAAGACAACCAGATCTGAAAATAAGCGTCGAGGCCTGGCATAATACATACCTTTACTGAGCCGCTGTATGTCCGGTTGCATGGGCCGCGGAGGGGCCTGCCCTCTCGCACTGGGTGGGTTACTCGGTATGGGGGGCGCTCCCCGTGCCTGCGGCCTGCCGCGACCACCGCGCCCGCCGCCCCGGTGACCCTGCAGAGTGGCGGTGGTGTGCTGGCCGGGACCTGGAAGACACACGATCACTTATTACTAATTACCTAATTACTGGTAGCAAACACATCCGCTGCAGCCACAGATCGATGATCAGTGGTTTACATACATACATGCATTCGTCCAAGGCCATAATAAAAATATTGTTTGTTTGCCCTCACCCGACCGACCCGCCAAAAAGGGGCCGACTCAAAAAATTTTATTGGTCTTCTTTTTTTCCTTTTTTTTAAACATATTGTATCACTGTACATTAAATAAATCTGTAGGCAATGCATTATATGTACCAAGCAAAACAAACATTCAACATAAAAGGTATCTCCACACAAGCACACCCGAGCATGTAGACACCATGTTGAATTTGTAAAAACACCCGCCTCAAAAAACTCAAAAAAAGCCGACCTACCTAACCAAACTTTTCAGCCTGGGTCGGGTGAGGGCAAACAAAGATTTTTTTAATTGTGGCCCAACATGTTGCAATCACACACAGACGCATGCACGTGCATAGGCACACACACACACACGCACACACATGCATAATTAACATACAAGTATATAATAAAACGTATAAAAAATTATTATAATAATTCATGTAACATTTAATGTATGATGTGTAAGTATAACTCAACAATAATGATTAAATTTGGCAGAGAAATTAGTAAGAAAATTGTAAATACATGCAGCTAGCACAATTTCGCAAGTTCACATGACCAAGGAGCATTAGCGTAGTGTTGACTACAAATGCAATTTATATTGACAAGACCACTAGTGACATACGTGAATTCTTAGGTAAGCCGGCAGCTATCATGACTGTGAGCAGTTTACTGGATGGCTTCAACTCAGCCTTGTCACTGCCTCCTTGAATGAATCTGATCTGACGCACCCCTCCTCCACCGAAACCCTGCTTCTTTACTGCAAACTCCAGGCTGGAAGGAAATCCAATCACGTGCGATTACAACATCTTTCGAGACACATGTCGAAAGAACCTGGTGAGACTAACAGAAGCTGTTACTTGTCATTCACTGCTAACATGGTGTCGAGCATTTGTAAGTGCTAACTCTGTGAAATTACCCTGTAGTAAAAGCATAGGTCACTTGTTCCAATATGTAACGAAACCTGTTCGGTAACACACAAAACAATAACTAAATACAATGTAACTTGACATCGCATGCTATTTATCTAGACAAGCGATTCCTTATCAACCTGGAGAACTATATCATTCATCAGTTGCATAAGATATCCTAGTAAAGTGACATAATGCCTGTAACATAGCACGATAACAACTCATGGCTAATGTTGCTGCGCCTGGTTACTA